AAATAAAACTGTCGAAATTAAATAATTCTAATTTTTTCCTAAAACCTGGACATATAAGCGTCCCGAAAACATTTTTCGGGAAACTGGGACACAAAGTCAAAAACCAGTGACAGTCCCGGTTTTCGGGACGTATGGCAACCCTATGATATACTTGAGCCTCGGTCACACGGTGATAATAAAACGTGATAGTTACTATCGTGAAAGTGTTATCGTGTGAATAGATCGATAGTGACCATCAAACTATCACCATAGCGGATCTCGCACTATCATACGTGCATGATAGTGGATAGTAAATATCACGAGAGTGATAGTCATTATCATCGTGTGAACTACGAAAGTTTGACGTTATAACTAACACTATCACACTATTACACATTATTATATATATTATTTGTGTAAATTATATTTATTTTTATTAATTAAAATCAAAATGAATTAAAGTACATTTAATATTCAAACATTTTTGGAAGAGTACCAAAGCTTCCCATGTCTTTGGCTTAAAAGTAATCCTGAATATTTATTTAGAAATATATGTGATTCTGCTGAAGAAAAACTACTTGAAAGTACAGGACTTGACTCTGTCAAAGAATTGAGGCAGAAGATCAGAAATATAAGATTATTTGTATAATAGCAATCTCAATTTGTTCATATGACGTTTTAAACTTATAAAAATAAATAAAAAAGCTTCCACGAGTATAATTTTTTGCAATCAAAAAATAATTACAATTACTGTACAGTACAATGCAATATATATTATAAAATATTATACAATACAATACCACGTAATGATAGGGCATTATAACAGATTATAAAATTTAAAAAAAGTTAAAAGGTTAAAAAGTTAAAATTAAAATCAATAAAATAAAATCAATATTATTTACAAAATCTTACATTAGTTACTTCCGAGGTTACTTCATTAAATACTGGTTGTATTTTTGATTCTGCCATCGAATTTTTAGAATGCCCTAGTTTTGCATCATATAGTCTTGACTTATTTATTTCAGATTCAAAATTTGAATTGATAATCTAAAAATATCAATTGTAAATGAAAAACATTATAAATTTCATATTATTTGAAAACCAATAAAAAAAAAAAATTGAATTAGAGCCTTTACATTTGGTTCAACGTTTGATTTATTCAGTAGTTGACTCTCTTTGCTACATCTATCACTTTTATGAGGTACAAAGTTTTTGTTACTATCCTAGAAATTATGAAAACATGTTACATGTTAAATATTAGTTATTGATAAAAAAAAAAAAAAAAATTAAATTAAAAACTAGCAAAGTAAAAAAGAACAATGATCAAAATCACAATTAGGTGCATATTAAAAATGGCCCATCAAAACTTTTTCTAAACCATGTTGGTTCGGCAGTGAGTTTGAGTCGTAACCAACCATCTTTAAGATTTTTCTACCACTAATTTTCATTAAAGTGGTCCTGCATAAATCAACAATTATTTATGAGTCATATAAGAAAAAATACACTTTAAAATTTTGATAGATATAGGTACAAATTTAAAACTTGATATATAAATATACATTATTTAAGTTTGAATAGTTGTAATTAATGTACAATATCATATATGTCTTACCTCACATAATTGAGCTGTTTTTTTTGCTACCCACTTGTCTCTTGGGCATCTTAAACCCCAAATTTTACGACATTTTACAGAAGAAGGAAAGTTAAACGTTTGTTTACCTTTTTTGTACGAATTTGAACAAAACACTGCCGCGCAGCCGCCCATTATCAATTTTAAATAATAAAAATTTCAAACGACAGACAAAGCAAAAAAAAAAAATACTATTATTATTACAGTATATTCTGTATCACATGATGCTTGTTTGTTAACATTTTCAATAAAATAGCGGCCAACTTACCCATAGTTATAGTGCCTTAGTAATGATAGTGAAACTATCATAGTATCACGTAATTTGCTGTGAACATTATAGTGATAGTGATAGTAGCTATCGCGATAGCGTCGATAAAAACTATCACGTTTTACTATCATCGTGTGATCGTGGCTTAAAATATTATTGTCACGATATCATGGAACATCTAGTGATAAAAGATGTATGGGAAAATACGTCAAAAATTAATTCTATTTATAAACTGTTTATTACGATATTCTTTGAACCACAAATATTATTACTAATTATTATTACAAATTACTAGAGTTGGACGAGTATTGGTTTTTGATGTCGAGTCGAGTTCAAAGCACTCGAAAAACGCTGAGTACTTGAAAAAAAGTCGAATACTAAACAATTTGAATCGTCGAATATTCGAAAAAGATTGAGTACTCGAGAAAAAAGTCGTGGTTACCAATTTATTTAAAATTTCGTTATCATGATATTAAAAAAAAAAACCAAATAAATAATAATATTTTTTTTCGTGTTTGATTTGAATGCCGTGCGAGATCTATTTATAACAATATAACACAATTAGCAAGCAACAACAATCTATTGTTATGAAAAAAAAAAAAAAAATAATTAAAACCATCAACCTTCCTTGTCTTTACTATCGGAAATATTTGGCTCTCAGTTATTTATAGCCTTATATATAGAGTACTCGATTTAATTGAACTACTCGTATTTACGAGTGCAAACATTTTTTTGTCGAGTCGAGTCGAGTACTTGAATCTCGACTGAAAATATTTTATTTAGTAATTTCGTCTAACTCTACAGATTACTAATGTATACTTAATGAAAGACAGTACCCATTGATACCCAATGCATACCTGCAATGTCACAGCAAACTTAATTGGAAAACAAACCAAACCTGATTTAGATATAATTTATCAGTCTGGTATGAATTTTATAAACTATAATCAACCCGACTGGTGTAATATAAATATATATATATATATATATATAATTTACTATAAAAAGAACTTTGGTCATTCCGTTGCTTATAAATATTTGAAACACTCGTAATAATAAACGGCGTTACCGACGTTACATATTATTAATCTATAGTGCGTTGTGGGCGTGTTATATTAATTTCGCTGGACGATATCGTCGGAAGGTAATGTCCACTTATGAAGAATCCACATAAATTCTCATCCCTACATAACTGGCCCCTAGGCGTCCGTATATAATATCTAATCACTGCCCGTCCGCTTTAATCGTAATATTATGATTACTATTAATAAGAAATTAAAATTAAGATTTTGAGTGAAACGAAGAATGTAATGGTTTTGCCATAATATGTTTTATTGTCATGCTTGTGTACACGATTTCGTCCAGAAGGACTGTTCCGATTGTTACAATACTAGGAGGTTTCTGATAGGAATTGGTATCTTGTTGGTATCTTGAGGAAGGAGAGGCCATGATTTTTTAAATTTTTTGACAGTTTTCCGAATAATTATAAACCGCTCTCTATTCATAACATATTTATTATGTTTTAAATTTTTATAATACCAATATAAATTTTTATAATATCAATATGACAATATGTTTCTAATTTTAAATGTTCATAGCACTCAAAAATTATTCATATTGTCGAAATGACCTAATGTTGCCGAAATGAATTATTGCCGAAACGGCATCGCTGAAATGTGTTAAACCTTAAGTTTAGTATATTTGGTTGGCAAGCCGACCGGATAACACATAATAAAATACTATCTCAACTGAAGTATTACAAATATATTTTTAATGATACACTGTTCATAAACGAGTACATGTTAAATAATATAATAATTTTATGTGAAAAATATAAAGGTATAATAGGTATGATAAAAAAACGGTGACCCGAATAAAATAAAAATATTATTGTTTAATTGGGTTGTTATGTATAACAAATGGTAGTGTTAAACTGTCTAAGTTTTACCGTTCACATTGATAATTTACGAGTACCAATATATTATCAGGTAAATCATATGATATAATAGAGTGAATAATGTAGAATTCGTAAAGAAAAGTATAAATGATAATCGTCTCGTTTAAAACTAAACAATAACCGCTACCATATTAGAGCGTATTAAATCATATTCGTTTTGATTGTCGAATAACAACAACATTATTAAAATAATAACATTATAGACATAATAATATTATGTAATGTATAGACATAAAATGAAATTAACGAAAGTGGTACCACACTTACTACCAGTAATAACAATAATAAAGATAATAATAATAATAATAATAATAATAATAATGTTTACATATAGTCTAATTATTTAATTAAATATAATAAATGTGTATATATATGCATATATGTATACACACAGAGCCGTTCTATTTTATGTAACAAAAATAACGAAGATTACGTTATAATTACATGAATATTCATACAGTCGCAAATATTTTTGCAATTTAAGATTTAAACGATCTCGTATATACACGTATAATATACATATATACACAACAGAAGTGCTTTAAAAATAAATGTTAAGTATATAATTATGTAAATAAAATGTATGTACATTCAAAAGTCACATAGAAGATGTTAAGGTAGACAAACGTTTAAGAACAAAATTAAATCACAGTAATAGCTCGATAAAATAGTAACAACAGTGGTATTGGTGTTCATGAGTTCACGATGCAAAGACTCGTAATCAAGACTTAAATCTATAATTTCGAATAAGGCGGTAAATATAATTATACATGTATAATATATAGTATGATAGTAGTAATATAATTATCTATAATTCTATAATATAATCATAATAACATTTATATTAATAAAATTTAAAAATACGATAATTTAAGATTTTCCAAAAAATAGTGTTTACAGTATAATATTAATAATAATAATAATAATAATAATAATAATAATTACAATAATAACAATAATAATTATGTATCATTCAGTATAAAACACTAGAATAAATATTTATTTCAATACAAATTAAAAAAAAAAAAATTCATTGCAGGTTAAGGTGTTCAAATCTTTACTATAATAAAATTGCTACCAATATATAATTATTAGGTGCGAAAATTAAAAAAAAGAATTGATAATAATAAAAATTGTTAATAATAATTTTATAATAAAATCGAAATTATTATATTTTTATTTTTTTATAATTCCGAATTACTCGTATTTTTGTTTTATTTAACGGAGTCATTATATTCCTATAACATCAAGTCGGACTACAAAGTATATTATATAGAAAATGCCTATTTACCAACATTTGTTAAAATGTGTTTCATGTACTAGTTATATTAATTTTATTATGTTTTTTTTTCTAGTCATCTAATTTCGTTAGTAAGTCACGTAATCGACATCACCTCATGCCCGTTTTCTTACGTCACTTAAGGGATTTGGTTTACGGTGAAGGGGTGGAGAAAAAGTGAGATAATGAGAGAGAGTTAGGAAAAGTTAGAAAGTTTTGATTCCATTGAAAATTGTACTACACACCAATAACTTTATTATTTACCCGAAAAGAAAAGAAACGTTGTCACGGATTGTATCGGGGGCTGAGAAAAGGATATCAAACATTTCACCATATTTGTCGCGCTTTCGAATCGTATAAGATATATTGTTTATAGGTATGCGTTTATAACAGGGATCACGTATGATGGTACCGAATTGACTAGTAAAAAATATTGTATGTTGTTATTGATATTATTCACGTAACCGTATCCAATTCCCACGCAGAATCGTGTCGATACGTTAGCTGTCGCACTAACCGACTTATTGTATCTCGATCGGTGATCGCGGTTTAAGGATTCATACGACATTTATTATTATTATTAGGTATTTTTACTGTTGAAATTTTTTTAGTTGAATGGTTGAAATATGATTTGGGTCGGGCTACTGCATAGGGAATGGATTCGAGCACGTTTTTCGTTTCTTATCGCACATCGGTCACACCGGTACGATATAGTGGGTGAGTGGTACACGCGCAATTTGTCGTCAGACCTGAAGCCTCGAATGAGGTGAAGCGTAGTAATAGGTACCTATTGTATGTATATATATATACAGTTGATAATATAATATTGTATACGAGAATCGGATGCCTTCGGGAATTTTCTCGTTTTTCGTTGAACTATAAAAAAAAAAAAAAATAAGAAAATGAAATTAAAGTAAAAGCTCCGACGAGTTTTATATAAAACTTTGTGTTTTTCAAAGACCCCGGAGCATTGTTGACATAATCATAGTCGCGTCGGTGGACCGCATGTATAGAGGTACAACACTCCCACACAAGTGCCGAGAATCGAAAAAAATCCCTAGCAGGGGTAGGTATATTACATGGTTATGCGTACACGCCGCAGGAGGAACCACCGTGAAGTTTGTGTGTATCGCCGAGATAAAGATAGAGGGTGAGAGAGTGTGTGTGTGTGTGTGTGTGAGAGAGAGAGAGAGAGCCAGAGATAAGCTCGAATGGTATTTTCGAAAGACTCGCGAATAATATATACATATATATATATATACACGCGTTCGTATAAAAATACATAGGTATAATAAATACGCGACGGAGCGACGACGAGACCGTTTGATAATAACAATAATAATAATAATAGTAATAGTAATAATAATGTATTCGCTTATAACGATATTAATGTGTTTATTTTCAACGTTTTGTATTGATTTTATCCGAGTGGTGTGTGTAGGTTGTATACAGTATACACGGTCTGCTGATAATGTTACACGCGCATACCTACGTCTCGTCCTCTTTCCTTCCGATCAACTACGCGCGTCATTCCTCGGCCGCGCGCAGACGACGCGAACGACCCGCTCGAATTTACATGATAATAATACGGCATATTATTACATCGTTCGTCTTGATGCTGCGTGCGCTGGAAACGAGGGAATGTAAGCAATATGTTCGGATACACCGGTCACCGGAACTGGTGTCATCCCTTATGACGTTATCGTGTACCACCACTCGCGTGGCATGTGCGAATTTTTGTTCGACGACCGCGCACGGGACAGGTACACGTCGGAAACGCAGGCACACAATTTCCGGCCAAAAGTCCCGTTGTTCCGGGCTGACGCGGCACGGGAATGGATAAAAAAATGGATTCCGTTCGTGTAATAAATAATATTATAGTCACCGTTGCTGATAATTACGCGTGTGTACGGCTAACTGTGCATGAATAATACGACCAAGTCGCCGCTAAGATCGTATCTAAACGGATGGCTGAAAACACGATTGTTGTTTCGGGGTTCCGGCGAAGAGCACAGACGATTTATGCGTCTTAATAGTTTCATTGGTTTTTCTAACAAGTCAAAGTTCCGATCTTGAGCATGGCATCTTTCTCTCGCGGACACTATACGTTTATCGTCAAAATGAATTTCAACGAAATCGAATTCCGACTTCGACGGGCACAGACGTTCGGTAGTGTACGAGCGAGACGAGGAGAAAACCTCGGGAAACGCATAATAACTTACGATGATAAGGATGAGGGGGTTGAACTGTACGTGTATTTACCTAAAAGACCTCACGTGTACTCGACGATCATTATTCCGAGATGATGAGTTTCGTCGCGAGTGCGTTATTAGTGAGTGTACGAATATGAGCAAAGCTTGGTCGCAATTTAACGATTTTGCAATCAAGACCAGTAAAAGTGTAATACAAGTGTTGCGGTGGAGAACATTTTATCACGAAGTATAATTTGGTTTTGAGGAAACTCGTGGTGTATGACGTGTATGCGTCGTTTTGTCGTGGCGAATTTGTGTGTTACATAAAAAGACGTAAGGCCTTGAATTTAAAAAACAAAACAGAAAAAAAAAACAAAGCGTTCAAACGTGTAATACGATAAACACGGTTTGTATCAATATGTAAATACGACGAAGAAAACAATGCGTTTAAATTCATCTGCGACGAACGAGTAAGTAAAATTATAATAAAAATAATAATAATAAAACGTACGTAAGACATGAAATATAATTTCTCTTTTTTCTAATTGACTTAGTGTGCTTTTTTTATACTTCTTCCGAAGACTTTTAATTGTGTATATTGTATTTATTATATAGGATTTACAAAAAATAATAATTAAAATGTGAAATTCAATAATTTTATGAATTAAAATATTTTTTTTTTTTTTTTGACGTTGTCTACTCGTATTCCGAAGAAGTCCGTCTAGACCGACGTCTCTGTTTGGTCCGCAAAAGATACGAACTGAGCTTGGCCTGAAACATATCAATATGACCACATCATTAGTAAAACGATAACATAAATTATCTAAACATTAAACGCTGAAGGGTAGACGTAATAGTGCAATTGATTATCCGGGTTATTTGATCTCAAAGAGTATGTGTCGTCGCAACATTTTATATAGTGTACACACATTAAATAATATATTGGTGTCTTATACGCAAAGAAATGTTATCAAAGCAATAAATTTGGTTTTCGTGATTTAACGTAAACGTTTCCGGTCGGCAGAGCTAATTTTCCTAAGGCATTTGAGTCGATTTTGAAGTACATTACTATTGTATACAGAACTGAAAGGCGGAATCACTCGATTTAATCTGTACGGTTAAATGAACAGGAATCACCAGACGACCATTGTCCCGTAGTCTCCAAACTGACATCCAAACCTTTTGGCGCGTGGCATCAAGATCGAGATAGTGAATGCACTATAATACTCTATGGCGTACATCTACCGTTCGGTGTGTAAGTTGAGGATCTCTTATAAATACTCAACGGTCACTGTAACAATTTTGTTTGAAAGAAATATCGAGTGATACGGGACTTTTATATTATGCTTGAAGTGGCGTATTTTTTTTCTCTTTTTCTTTGATACACTTTGTCAAATTTCTTAAAAGTAGGTATATAATCAATTTTACAATACTCGAGAATTGGTTCCCGAAAGCTCTTTGTGTAGGAAAAATGATCGAATCGTACTCATATTATCTAAATTATGGTTCCTAATTTTTGGATTTCATATTCTATGTTGTGTTACATCGTATTAACAATCGATTCAGACGATGTTATCATTCATTATCGTATGTTTTACGAATGAATAACGTTGAACGTTGACAAATGGTAATATGGTGAACACAAAACAGAAACTTCACAGTTTTAAACTATTTTATTATTTTGTTTTGGATTTGAAAATACTGTTCTATAACACTTCCGAATATTGCTGTTTTTAAGTGCGGTTATAAAATGTGTAGTTTTATAAGTTTAGCCACACGTTGGATAATATTTATAAGTTGATTTGAACGGGCTTTGTCCATCGATATTTTGGTTATAATCGGGATAGGATTTAGAAGGTTATGGAATGCGCAATTGTTACAAACAATGGAATTTAATTTTGCGGTGGTAGTGAGTTTTGAGTTAAACGATTTCGGGCAAAAGTTTTTGACTGGCGGAATTTTATTTTTTAATAACTTTTAATGCACAATGTATACGTACACAATATGTATTAGATATGTAAACATAAAACAAGTATATACCTGGTATTTTGAACGAGACAACTTTCTACATGAAGAGCAGTGTAGTCAAGTTATAAAAAATTAATTTCAATTTAGGTTCTCTATATTGCGTAAGAGAGATCGATACAATTCAACTGTTGATGTTGACGTTAATGAGTGACGACCACAATGGTAATTTAATTGGATGCGAACCTAGCAAATGGATATGCATATATATTCTATGTGTAGGGTTAACCGTTGCAAAATGTTCGACTTAACTATTGTATTGAATTCTAAAATGAATTAAAAAATTTTATTTTGTTTTATATTCGGAAAAACTCAATAAATAAGTATACATATATAATGCTAGACCGTGGTTCGAAGTACAATTCGATATTTTTAAAAAAAAAATAATGCGTGTAATTACAAAAAAAAAAAGGTCACAAGGTTCAATTAAAAACGAGTTCCATTGGCACTGCTGACATGTTAATCGCGAGGTGCTATTTATAAAAGTTGAAAGTATATAACAAGAGTACAACAATAATATAGCGGTCGAGTTTCACAATATATATTTATTTCTGGTACATGATATGCGCATGTATACGTTTAGTTGTAAAAATCGTTAGATCAAGGGTTCAAATAATATATTTATTTCCCAATATACAGCGGAAATATTGTACTTTTATACGTGTAGCGGTGGTAAATTGTTTTATTTTTATATTTTTATTGTTCTACGCTTCTACAGCAGTAATTTTACAGTCCATCTTTATAAACATAAAAGTTAAACACAAAAGAGCTACTCGTATTTTAAATTTTTTTTTTCCGAACAATGAATATGAGTACATACACACACGCACACGATTACAAAAGAATTCACATACGCATACAAACACTTAACAACAAAAAACCCGCTTCGAGCGTCAACGTATTCTGAAAAAATTAGCTCAGATGAGGTTACAAGGGATGTGTTGTCTGAATAATTCAGACACGCGCACGCTCATGTTAATTTCGTGTACGCGCGTTCACCGACGTTATAATGCTACAATAATGCAGTCGTTTTATTTTATTTCGGAAAACCCACAACGAACTTAAAAATGAAGTCGCAGCCGAGAGCGACGTAACCCTGTTAGTCAATTATTCAGGACACGTCATAATCCCATTGTATAGTCGGATTAAAAGCGTTTAATTATTTAGTAAAGGAATAGTATTGTTATTATTGCTTTAACGTGCAATAATTATGTTTTAACGATTAATAAACAACTCCACGTCGTTACAACAATTATTATAATTATATAGAAGCCACAGTGTACGTTTTCCGTAAAGTACCTATAACAGTGAATATCTCTAAAATAGATAGTAATAATTCTATTATCTACGATAACACTTAACGTTAATGTGAAGGATAAAAGCTACCAGATAAATAATAGTATGGACAATATAATTACTGGTTCAACTAATATTACGCCTGTATAGGTTAGCCCCACACTCTGTTATAGTAGTACACTTCTACGCGATCGAGGGATAAATATATTGAATATAATATATCTGTACTTACACACACACAGATATATATTATATATATATATATATATATATATATTCATTTCCATAACATATATTGAATATCGTACAAAGTTTTTCCAAGAGCAGTGAATGTAAGAAAAAATAAGAATTATAATATGTGCAATAACGGCATATGCAAATAAGGTTCAAGTTGTTATAATATATTATTATTGCATATGTTTTGCATTCAATGCTTCGTAGGTTTACGATCGAATATATTTTTATTATTATGCCGTTGTTCGGTTGTGTAAAAGCATACGCGTATACATAAATAGGTCATGGAACTACGGAAGGGCTCAAGCTGACTTACGGTTTTTTAATTTTTTAGAGGTCGTATATAATTGTTTTTACTACTGTATACGTATTAAATAATTTTAAGCTGTTCATATTTTTCTCTAAAGAAATACAGACCGTGTATCGGTTTAAATCCTTAAGTAAAATCGACGTCTTGTCTTCTGTCTAAAAAACAAACAAATGAAAAATGAAAATAAAAAACGTCATAATTTTCAAAGTTATAGAAAACGATTTGAACGGTCGAACGTAACGTGTCGCAGCAGTATAAGATTCCGCAGCCGCTTATCGGAAAAGTAGCATAAACGAGAAAATGCATTTGCTAAGTGCATTCTGCATGCCGTGAGAGCATAGAATATTCAAATTTGTTACAATAATACAGTGTTTATACGGGGCAAGTGGAGTTTGGGGAGAATTCACGTATATCTATATCCGCCGGTGCCACAAATCTGTACAATATAAGATACTACTGCGAGGGTGGTTCTAAGATGGGAACTTAGTACGTGTGTATCGAACCAATGTTTATGTCAGACCTTCTATCCCGAGATGGAAGAGATTCATCGTCAATTTCCAAGGGGGTATATGGTAAAAACCAATTTTGGTAAATTCGTTACATTGGAAAAAAAAATCGGTGAAGGTATTATTATTTTCTCCAAAAGGTTATCATCTACCCCTGTTATTTTCCCCCTGAAATATATACTGAATAAAATTGCAGCAAGGTACTTACATTCCAAGTACTTGGCAAGGTCGTAGTCTCGGGTTTGTTCGGCAATCTGTTGAGCGGTCCGGTCGTGTTTGTCGACAGCCAGTAACGGCGCCCCGGCCGACACCAGCAGGTAGCAGATCTTGCGTTCGCCGTTTTTGACGGCCACGTGCAGAGCTGTCTGTCCCCTGGAGAAAAACACGACACATGGTCATTCGGATAAAATTATTATGCGATAGCGTAGGCCCCGACTGGACTGAAAAGTCCCCTTCAATGAAGAAATATAGCAGATTGCCATCGATTGGGTATTTATGAAGGAGTCTACGCTTATCCAGTAATTCTAAAGAGCACAAGTAAACGAACACAAATCGTTCATATATTTTAAGATAATATATTTAAAAAATTTTTTTTTCTCGGATCCATTGTTCAGTATTTGACATGAAAATGATTTCAATTTAATCACATTTTTTTATTCTAGGCCATAAAAAAAATCAAGGACCTGCATCAGAAGCCGATAAAAAAATTTCAGCCTTCAAGTCCCGGTGCATTGCATCCTCTGTAACTCCACAAAGCCGGGTACTGTATGGCTAAGAATGTCAGAAAAAACGGTACCCGTTATAAAAATTAAAATTAAAATATAAAAAGCATTTTTACATGATAAACGGTTAGTCTGTTTTCATTTCTTGAATCGATGAAGATAAAATGTGTAAATATTTAAAAAAAAAAAAAAAACCGTAGATAGTAAAATATAAAATATAAATAATGAAAAACAAAAATTAATTGTATGATTCATATTTAAAATTTGCCAGTGAATATAATGAACGAAGAGAAAAAGAAATAATAATATTATACCTTTTATGTGAGCGAAATAGTTCTATTTTAGTTGTTGGAAATATAAACGCCTATTTAAATTGTTTTCATGGGAATAAATATTGTTTTTGACAAGGCAAAAATTTGAATTTTTTTTAACGTTAAACATAAATAAAAAGAAATATTTATGTTTTTCACCGGTAGAATGTGATTTTTTTAAAAATTAATTTTATTTAGATTTTAAGTTAAACATTTTTTTTTTTTAATTATAACGTCACTCAAATAATCTTTAGTTTTTTAGTTTACGAGCAAATCGAGCGGGCTAATAGTACCCAGCGTTTCAACAAATATGAATAAACATTTATATTTGAAAACAAATTAGTTTTTTACGGGCTGTTTTTAACGTACGAATATTGTTCTTTTTGGACATTTTGTCAACGGTATTTTTGCTTTGATTCAAAACTTTAACACTTTTAACGAACTATAATATAAGCGTATAAATTTCGGTTTTAACGATATTCGCATGGATACATTTTTATTTATATTTAAATCGGATTTATTTTTTAGAGACGTAGCGAAGCATGTCACGATTGGATTTAGGAGTAACACCTGTTCTTACTCACAAATTCCGCGGTAGATATCGCGTAAAAGGATACATTTTGGATACCCAAGTCCCACACCGGATGTTTTTGGAGTTCCTGCTCACATTTTTAGGATTATCTCACCCGGTAAAATAACAAAAGCTAATCAAAATACCTCACTTATAGTTTTATTTAAACGATATTAAAAGTCATATTTTAAAGGCCTTGAATGTTTGGATTTATGAATTTTATCGATTTATTACATTTAAATACAACAGGTAACACTCGTTTTTATTAAATAATTTTTAAAATCATCATTTTAATGAGAAATGTATTTTCTTATGAAGTACGTTGATCACGAAAAATTTGATCTTTGTGCGCATCGAACAATTCTTGGAATTTATTCGAATTTTAAAAATAGCGCAACATTAGTAAATAAAAGATTCGAGGAAAACCAATTTCGCGTATAGCAAGTACTGCAAGCATCCTAAAAGTTTCGTTTTTGCAAAACGTAAAATAAGTATTCGATTTCATTCGCACTTATATAAAATTGTTCTCAACATTTATTCGGTAACCACTTGAATGCTATGTATATAAGTTAATAGGTACACAGGGAGTCATTTGGTGTTGTTGTCTGTATAAGCGCAAAGCGAAAACTCTGTATTCACACGGGCACTTAATATTCAGCTTCTTACTTCTGTTTCGTTTTAAGTTTGTTCCGTCACGTTCAGCGTATGACATTGTACCCTATAATTTTTTATCCATATGCAAATTGTATACGAACGAGGCCAATAGGTTTTGGATAACCTTTAACCAATACAAAACCGTCATAACAATAGATTCGATTCAGTTGTTTTATTTGATAATCAACATTTCTGACTACTTCTGATCAGCGTTAATAGTAATATTCCCGAATCACTGGTACTTTGTACCGTGTATGAGTAATCTGTTATTATGAGCCGTTGTTGAGCATAGTTTAATTTAATTTATTAACAATTTTTCTAGATATATACATTTCAAATATAATATTTTTTTAAAATACTACTTCAAATTAGACTATAGGTTCAAAAAATAATATGATAGTTGTAAAATGTACTAATTCTTATGACTTACGTAATTACGTACTTATACCAAAAGAGACTTTTCAGGTTGACCCTTTCTTCCCCTCCCACCATTACTTGTTACGCTTTAAAATTGTTATGTTATTACCAAAATTGTATGAGTCGTTACTTACTCTTGATTGTCTTTGATTGAAACAATGTTCGACGGCGCATTGGCCAGTATGTACCGCACCAGGTTTGAATCTCCGCGCTGACTTGCTACGTGTAATGCCGTTTGCCCATCTTTGTTGATGGACATCAAAGAGTAACCCATTTCGAATAGATTTCTCAGCTGAAAAATGCACAATTACAAGTCTATTATGATAAAGTGATTGCACCGTGTACTGTTTGAACACCATTCGAGGGCAAGGATAAATCCCCGCATTCATAAAACGATTATAAGGTACTTGTTGCAGATTCACTATCCGAAAAAAAAACAACCATAAGTGTTCAAAGGTGGACACCGCGGTCGGAACCGAAGTAAGTTTTCAGGAATTCTGAAAACGAATGAGATAAAACAACGAGGTGGTTATTTTCTAACACGAGCGCCGAGTCAACGTTTCGCAAAACAAACGCGCATAGAACTTGTTTTAAGCTGCATTACGCGTGTACTAAAACATGACGCGATAAGGGATTTAGGATGCAATTCGAACGTGAGTACAAGATGTAAGAATGACACTTACGGTTAAATAAATATAGAAAACATGTAAATTCGATTTTAAAAAGGAAATCAAAATAGTACAATGGATGGAAAATTTGAATAAAATGTACATATACAAACAATAAAATAATATAAATGTGCATACATTATACAAGGATTTCGCATAAGAAAAACACATTTCACAGAGCATATATATAAATATAGAATAGAGGTATGGTTAGAGTTGGTTTTTTGTATTTATTGTTAAAATATTACCATGTTTAAGTTCCCTGTTTTAGCCGCTTCGATTATTTTATCAGAAGTTCGTACTTGACTGTAATGGCTGTAAAAAAAAATCAAAACAAAAACATTTTAGAATAAATACTTATAATAAGGATCCACTAATTAATCGGGTTGTGTAGTTTTTTTACATCCTATCCACTCTTGTGAAATTAAAACTAATGTATATACTTACAAAGCTAATTATACGCAAAAATATATCCTATGTATGAATATATTTTCAGCAATTTAATTGCGAATTATTTTTCTAACTTAAAATACTAAGGTTTATTAACTAAAAAATATAATATTACTTACTTATCTTCATTTGATTGTAAATTAAATAGACGACTGTATACATCACTAAATGAACATGCAAAATTATAGAAAAAAAGAAGGTATATCATGCATATTATTTAAAAAATATTATGTATGAATTTAAAAACTAATATTCTCAAAAGTACTTTTGTTTTAAATATTACACTGAATTAGTATTTTTCAATTATATATTTAATTGTTTTGGTAGGAAATCTATTAGCATTTTTATTAAAAAATTTAAGATCGAAATAACACGTATAGGGGAGAGCCCGTATAGAGGGGCATCAGTAAGACACTCAATTTACAAATAGACACAATTCATTCAATTTTTGTTACTAAAAAAAGTTATTATCTTTTCTTTATTTTAATTTGATTAAAAAATACAAAATAAAATAATAATTTTATTTAAAATATTATTATAAATATTTATTTCTTATGGTCTATTTTTTCTTTATAGTAGTGTAATACTTATAAAAAAATGTGTCTCACCAAGCCCCGTCTCATATGGCCCCACATATTCATTTCAAGTTAAATATTTAAAAGAATTACTTAAACGTATTGTCTTATAAATATCATTAATGTCGGAATTTGTATTTTTTTCTTCTAATTCATATAATATAATAAATATGTATAGTTTAATAAATTATACTATACTAAAAAAAAATATGGCGATTATATTGTTCGTTTTGATAACAAAATAGAGAGAACTGTTGATGATAACATGATTCATATTATCAGAATGATTAGAGAATAAAACTGCAGAATAAAAACGTTACATGCAACATTTTTCTTCGTTATACCTCGGTATGAACTGCTAGAATTTATTTCTCATTTATCTATTTACATTGTCTCACCATGCCCCCTACTCATTACTTATAAAATCCGGCTGCAACTTGTTTGCGCACAATTCATAATTTTTACCTGAAAAATCGGAACTCTGCGCACACGGTTATGTTAAATATACAACTGGTTTGCGTACACGAAAATAATATTTTTTTGAAGAGTAAGTCAATTTCAACGTTTAATACAATGTGGATAACAATTCAGGATCTTTGTGTTTATACGCTTAACCAAGAAGTAAATATTAAAGAGTTCCATGTAGATTTTGAGATATCCGCACACTATGCTTTACTAAATCTTTATCCCCATTGTAAAATTGTGGCTTGTACTTTTCATTTAGCTCAAAGTTAGTTTCAGCACATTCAAAGTAACAAACAATTATTACTTGAGTATAATAACAAAAATTCCAATATTGGTAATTGGCTTAAAAGTTTTTTTGGTTTGCCGTATTTACCTCCAGAAGAAGTAAAAGATGCCTTTACACAATTAATATCAGATTGCTCAACGTCAGATTTTTCATTTCCAACTACGTTCTTGAAAAATATATAATTCCCGATTCAAAATTTAATCCTACGTTATGGCCAGGACATCCAAAAAACGAGCCTCGAACTACGAACGGTTTAGAAGTATTTCATAGACATTTTAACCAACAATTTTACACTCCACATCCCCACATACACCAGGTAATAAGTGTAATTCTTAAAATACAAAGCGAAACATAATTAAAAATAACATCATTCAACAAAAATATAAATAATTATCGCCGTAAGGAGTCAATAGAATCAGTTGAACATCGCATAAACTAATGGACAAAATATACATCTGACGAAATAGACCAAATTAAATACATTCAAATAATGGGAAACTTTTATTGCAAAAAATAATAGACATGTATATATTATCCGTATATATTATACGTATATATACAAATCATATTATATTAAAATTAAAATTAACATGCATTTTTAACTTGAACAAGTATTAAATATTATTTATTACAATTATTAATAAGCAATTAACATACATTTCTAACCACACATTTGAATACATTCATAGACAGTCCAAAGTCTGTTAAGGGTAAAGGAAAATGTATGCAAGTACTTTAATAATAAAGAAATATTAATATGCAAGGTATTAAACTATTAAAGTCTAAAAGGTAAATGTGCGCAAACCATGTGAATGATTACGACTCGACTGTTCCCAAACGAGTTGTAGTTTTGTGCCCAATCAAGTTGTCTTTTTGATATTTGTACGCAAACCAGTACCGCTCAAATATCCAGTGTATTATCCTTTACAATACGATTAAATTATTGTGTTCAGATAATGCGTAAATGCATATTTATTTTAAAAAATTTTAAGTGAAAAATTAATTTTTGTAAAATCAAATGATTTAAAATATGATATAAAATATTTGGAAAAAACAAACGTACTATTATATATTGAGAAAAAAATACGTTATAATAGTGATATGATTAATAATCTATAGTGCGTTGTACCTAGCTCTCATGGAATGATTGCATTCATTGGTCGTTGCTTCATTTTGTTGAAACGCGACCGTCGACTGTCTTGTGATATTCTCCAATCGATTTACCTCCGATTTAACCAGCATGCTTTAAACACCAATAACAATAACCCTTTAAAAAGATGCTCCACTTACCTGACCGTCGACGGGTTTAATGATTATTTTACTGACCTTGTCATGTCTTGTGCTCCTAAATCTTCGGAAGATTCTTTTGCTTTCAGAACCACAGTCAAGTCTTCTTCTGTAGAAGGCGGCCCTTGCGGATCGTCTAATATAAACAACTGGTCGTGTGTGATGTCTATAAGGTAGTGAAGGCTTTCCTGTGCTCGGTCGATCCTGAAGAACCGTTCAGCCGTGCAACCTGCAATAAGTGCGACGCGTATTACATTTGATGATCAAATTATCCCAATAACAACTAAATACCGATAATACGTACAGTCGACGAAACACCAGTCTGGCGATAATTTCGGCATGACGTTGCCCACGTGATCTTTTGATAAGCCGCTGTTCAGTTCTAATTTTTCGACCAAATTGCGCACGGTTTCTAAATCCGCAATTGGCTCCACTTCGATTTCACCCATATTTATAGCTAAAACAATCGAAACAGCAACACGGTTATAATTACGTCATCATAAAGCAGTTAGGGTAGAATAGGGTTTTCGGTAATGTTATAAACTGTAACCGGATGTATTATGTGGCCAACTAACATGATTGGACGAGCAGTTCTTTGTCACAGTGATGTTGCTCGTAATCTTGAAGCCTTAGTCTTTGAACAGATACTTTGCGTTTATCGATAGTAGTTTCTCTGAAATATCACAGACATATTGTTATCCAAACTTTGTAAACATATCACATACATTGCGGCTGAAATATTGATAGAGCTTGCAATAATCAAGTTATTAACTTACCGAGTAGGCGTCTGTCTGCCTTTTCGTCGTTTAGCCATCATAGACGCCTGATTGAAAAACCCTAGGGTGATTACAGACGGTTTTAGACGGCATGCTTCACCGTCCACTTGCATGGGTACCGATTTATTGGTGATTATGCGAGCGGTTTTGCATTGGCATAGAGGTGTCCCTGTTCCTCCGGTTTGCAATCGGGTCTAAAAGAAAAATAAAGTTAACGACGATGCTTAAATGGATGAGTCTTAGCTGTTTCAAGGTTTTTCTTACGCCTATAGCGATTAAAGTCGATATCAGAGTAAAACATCGATTTTTCTTATTCAAAAAAATATGTACAGTTTAAAGTACATACTGTATTAATTTTAATTTTCAAGTATTTTCATTATAAAAGAATATGCCTTTAATATGAATAACACTGACAGAGTGTCATTGTGTTTTATGAATAAGATTAAAAATTAAAATAGACTGTAGAAAATGAAATAATATTTTCGTTTTCACACGAAAAAGATGTGTATAATTTTTCGTAAACTATTATTACTTAGAGTATATAATAAAGTTATTATGTTGCTGCGCGGGATGTTAATAATGATGTATTTGATAAAATGCAGGAATCCTATTAGGTACATGGTACGTTAAAATACAATAATTTCAGTTAAATTTAAATAATTGTTATAAAATATAAACGATAATTTCCATATTTATAAGCAATTATAATATGTAAACGAGTAGAGTATAGAATCGCTTACAATTTGCATGATCGTTAAACCGATGACTTCGATAAGTCCGTCGTCTGTCGCATTGTTGCCCGCCGATTTGTTCCATGGTCGTGTGCCTCCGCCATAGCTGGGAATGTTCAAGAACAATATGGCATGTACTTTTAAGTCTTTGATCCGTTGTGTCATGTCTTTGCCATCGCATTCCAATAATACCATTTCCGATAAACCTTTCCACTTGCGATCCAGCAACTCGATGCCACCTCTGACGCCGTAGAATAACTTATTGTACATTCGTGAACTAAACTTTTCCGGATTAGCCTCTGAAATAATCGAATCAAAATAATAATATAATACTAGAAATCATCAATAGATAATCGTAAAATCATGATGTGTGCTTATACGTTTTGTATTTCGGTGTCTTGGAATATAAAAAAAAAATTAGTTTTTTGGATCATACTGGATGTTACTTTAAGGAAAACTCTAAGACTCGAAACGCCATAATATTACAATGGATTTTGAGGTAAAAAACTGGATGCATTTAAGAATGATCGACAAAACGTCTGATTTCAATGAAACAAAATCACCTTGCCGATAATCAATTCAATTTTTCTTTACTTGAGTTTTCTTTTATGAATAATCCTTCATTTTATTCGGGATTTTTTTTTTTTAACTAATAATTATAACTTGTTCTCATATGCATTATTATCATTATTATAAAATTTCTTTATTGTAATTTTTAGGATTTTGGAAAAGCATAAAAAATAGTATCTCGAAGTTACCAATAAAGATTTGCGTATGTTAATACTATTTGCAACATAATATTTGTGTGAGGCAGGATTTTCCACGGTTACTGTTTGAAAATCGAAATACCGGTCCAAATTTAATGTTGAAAAAGAAATGCGTATAGTAGTTATAACGTTGATTCCAAATATTGATGCATTACTACAAGTATGTGCAGAACAACCGCATTTTTCACATTAACTTACGAGTAGTCATAATAATAATAACAATAATAATAATAATAATAATAATAATAATAATAATAATAATAATGATAATTATTTTTTGTTATCAAAAAACATTATGCTTATATTTAAATAAAAAATGTTGTTTTATTTATTCATGGGAGGCCCGATTAATTTGTTTTTGTTTCGAGGATATGTGTCCCAAAAAAATTAGGGAGCCACTGTATTATACATTAAATTAATGAATACCTATACCCAACCTTAAGATGATTATTGTACGTTTTGATATTTATGTACATAATAATAATGATTATTGATGGTTATTTATGCAATTTCTTACCTCTAGCTTCGTGAAATTCAAGTGCGATCTGAGCGTCTACTCCCAACGAGTAGTAATTATTTATCACGTTTAATGGCAAATTTTCGTTTCCAGCGTAGTCAGTTCCCTTAACATTTTCGTTGGGTACCACATCCAAGTTCCAGCGGTCCAACCGTACTGTTTCGCTTTCTTCTAAATTGGTTAATATTTTTGATACCGGTTCATCCATATAACCCTGTAAATACAATTATTAATTTAGTTACCGAAGAAAAACAAATCTTTTAGACTGTTGGACGATTAAATTAATATAATGTATACAATTGAATATAATATATTGATTAAACTTCGGAGCAAAGCGAGTTTTTATTATTCTTGCTTTTTATTATAAGTTAATATTTTTGCGGGTAATGAAAATTAATGAAAAATGTCAAAAATCTTATGCGATCGTTCTGAAATCAAGATAATAAAATGAGAGTACCATCATTATGAGAAAATTTCAATAATTGTTCATATAATTCAAATATGGACCAAATAAATATCATCATACTATAAATAATGTAGATTTACTTTTTGTTTAGATTAACATGAGATTTAAATTAAAAGATAATGCTTAAAATTCTTCTTATAAAACTTAACCTAACACTAACAGAAAATCGATAAGATAAAATGAACGATTGCATTGAACTCTGCTTAGAATTGTTTTTTGATTTATTATTGTTTTCGGTTTTAAAATCCGCTACAGCTTAGTATCAAATATTATTCGTTTTTATATATTCTTTAATTATATTTGATGATAACTTTTTTTAACTGTTATTAATGTGTTTTCATAACTGTATGATTGCATACTTAAATATATACTCGTGTATATTTATTTATACATGTAAGTATATATGTATTTTACTTTGAAGTTTCTGAAATTGTTGAAATTTAATTATTTTTAAAGGGACCAGAAAAATATTATTCAGAAAACAATTAAATGTGTGGTAGAATCATCAATGTAAAAATAAAACTATGTAGTTCGAAAAAATGTTTACGCTGAATGATGATTATAAAAACTTCTTTACGGACGTAACGGAATTTAATATAATATTATATTGATTATTTTTACATCAATTAGACGTCATTTCAAATTCAGTTCTTACTCAAACAGGCGAATACTTTTTTTTTTTTTAAATTAATACTTAAAAAGTTTACTAAAAAATAATAAAAATTGTCCGTTCATTTGCGAATCGTCTTACAGAAATCACGACGTTTCGATGGAATGAAATCGTTTTTATAATAAATTTATTAAAATAAAGCGAAAAAACGTATTCACTCGGAATAATATTGATTTTCATAAACGGATACATCTGGTTCAGTAAAACGTCTCGTCATTCGGCCTATTCTACGATTAACGATTGATATTCTCGGATATTTCTGCGCTTAAAAATGGTTGTAACAGTAATAACATTGTTTACAACATGGTCATAAAATCGATTCGGAGCAATAAAATAACGATTTGTTCACATCTGCGATGGCCATCTGTTATTGGAAATAGAAGAAAAAAAAATTGTGTCGTACAATTAACGTGCATCAGTCGAGTTTGAGTCAATACAATATAATATGTTATGGAACACATGGTCATAGACTACTTACGCCTCCCCAACCAAGAGCTCTGGCCAAATCGTTGCCTGTGCCCAACGGTAGCACGCCTACCGGAAACGACACAGCGTTGGATATTTGGTCCAGGATTGACAGGACCCATCCGACAGTGCCGTCACCGCCGCACGCCAGCACCCGGAGGTTCGGTACCTTCTTGTACAGTTCCAAGCCCATTCTGGGACCACCGCGGCTGAGATCGAATACCTGTCTGGGGTTCAGGTGCCATTGGAACTTTTGCAGCAGCTTCACACCCTGGTTGCCGCCTGACTTGGGGTTAATAAATATTATCACAGGCTTGACGTTCAGCGTCGGGATCGGTTTGATCACGAATAACTTGTCTTCTTTGTCGGGCTGCGAACGGCAAACGAAAATACATCAAAATAATAATAATACGAATCGCGAACATTTATTATAATATTAACGATCGACCGACCGACTTAAGCCCGGTGTATGTACTCGAGTGTGCCTCACCCGCGGAGAGAGGCAAAGGAATTAATTAATTTTTATTGTTGTATACAACGTCAATATAATACTTGTTGGTCTCGTTCGGTCTTGACGAACTGAGTTTAATAGGATTTATTACAATGATTTAAACGTACACGTTAGTGAAACACTTTTCGACCCGTCTTAACGAACTCACAGAGCCCACCCGAGCCCGGTCACAATAAGTGAAATACGATCCGAGAGTTGTAGCAGTACGCTCTAATGGGCAGACGGTACTAATGAACTGTAGTTAAACTTTCTACGTCTTTAATGATAATGCTACTGTTCCCATGTCCAATGTTTACTTTTCATTATTTATCTGATAGAAAAGAGAGAAGAACGCGCGCGCACACCCACCCACGTATATATACATAAAATATATTATTTGAAATGCAGTCGTATTAAAAATTAAAATATAAATACAGCCTTTGTTGCGATACGGATGGAAAACGGAACACGACGAACCCCTCTAGGGAAAACATTGTTTTCTTTTAACTCTTTTTGTAAAATATTTGCATTTATTATTATTATTATTATTATTACTATTTTCGTTTTCCCAACGCGCGTTTATTGAAATGAACCACGGCAATTTCACTCTTGTTTATTGATCATAAACACCAACGGTATTGTTATCAAATTACCACCGGTCTGACGCATTAAAAACCGAAATCAATAATCCTCGCAGTAGACATTCTCCAATTCCTTGGTAATATTAATAATGTCAGCAGCTTTTGATTTACACACAGTGCATACATTACAATAACAGCGACAATAGTACCGGACATCATTTAATACGCATGTCCGTGACGATCAAATAAGATTTTTATTTTTTTCATTTATTTTTTTATTATATATACACACAATCTGTAGACCCACCCTTTTGCTATGGATCTGGCTGCAAGGAACCGTCTGAAATCCTCAGAGGCGATAAGAAGAATCGAAAAACCGTACGCCGTTACGGTGTATTTATAACATGGACGCACCAGCAGCTGAATGTCGTGCTACATAGTGCCGCATGATGACGTCGTGACCGGTGACGACGGCACACATAGTTTGTTCCGGGGGTAGTTTTCGAGTGTTCGGCCGTGCGTCGACGTGCAACCCCCCAGTTGTAACCCTTTCCATCACGCGTTTCAAGAATATTTCACAAAAGTTACGACAATCCCCAGCCGCCGGTCGTTACCCATGGAGTACCATTACGGCGTTTTGAAAAATCACACCAACGCCCACCACATCCATCGCATTGCGAATCATGATTTTAATAACCATTACTAACACACACGGCACCTTCATTACGGGTGTGCACTCCGAGAACATGATTGTTACGTTACGGGCTACGCCTAAGCGTCGTGTCTCACCGTGAATAAGTTCATCTCCGTCAAAACGGAGTTCTTGCCAAAAGCTCTTACACGTGTGGATTTTTCATTTCAAGCTTATCCCCGGTCCTCGCGCATCCTTAGGATGAACCAAAATATCGCTATTGACCAAATATTTTCGATTTCGTGTGTGTCCTGATGTCAGTACCCTGTCCTAAGCCTTCGGATTCATCGAACGCGCGTTTTCACAGAATTTGGATTATAGATTCATTCCCAAAGACCTTTCTCAGAGCTCTACACATTAAATTCTATTGAAGAAATAGTTTTGTCCGATCGACATTTCATCGGAAATTTTCAAATCTCTCCTAGTAGAAATTAAAAATAAACTTCGCTGCGTTCCTAATGGTAACGTAAACATTCGATTAAAGAATTCGGCATCGATTGTCCACATCGCTGCGAGAAAACCTCATAATACCCACTATACGAGCACTCACGCCGAGTCGTAAATTCAGAGCGCTCGTTCTCTTTTTAATGTAATAAATTATACCAATGCGCGTACGGTGTGTTCCATTATGATAACATTTTGGTTTTACAAGCAATACCGTTGTAATTGGTTACGAATCAGTTTTTAATTAAAATTATTAAAATAAATACAAAAAGCGTCCGTGCTACCGTGTGCAAAGGTATTACGCGAAAATAGGACGATCAGATCGGTTCAATAATTTTTTTTTTCCAGTAGACTGACCTAGTTACGTGACACGATGCATATTCTCATAATATAATATGTTATATACACACATGTGTGAAATGCACTTGTACTACAAAATGCATGATTATTGCTCGAACGCGTTCGCGTAGAACATTAAAATTTTTACCCTTAGGTGCTTGTTGTATTGCATTCCAAATGCTTTCTACGGTGATCCTATGGCGATCTATGTTAGCCAGTTTCAATTGTCAAGCGTCGCTGATTTGGCGGGGTAATTGGTAACGGGTGATGCGTATCCGTTTTCCGTCGACGGTGAACTCGCAATATCATGAGATTTTCGCAATTTTGACCACGCGCTTTTTTCCTACCCCGATTGATATTATTCTGCATGACCCCCGTTATCATTATTTTGCTGAAGCCATATTATGTTTATTGGCTTAACCACGGCATTTATTTTTGAGCCGCCGCAGCCGCTATCAGATGTTTCTAACAATATTTAAACGTGTCCCGTTATATTGGTTAACTAATAATCGATTATAATATTATATTTGTGTGTACGTAAGAATATTTCACCGTACAATTGCAATAGTTCAAAACGAACGCACACGTGGTTATTTATTATCTGTTTATGAATTTTAATTAAAAGAACAATAATATGACTAAAATAGTAATACTAAAATATTATTAGTATTGTATGTGAATGCAATTATGATACAGTTTCAAATCACAAGTTATTATTTATTACAATTGTATTATTTATCATAAAAAAAAAAAATAAAAAATATAGACATAAATTATGGGTCCCATAATTCCTTGGATAGTATACATTATAGTTCATAACACGAATCTCATATTCAAATAAAAGTCAATACTTTTTTGTTTGTTTAAATTTAAATTTAAAACTTAATGAAGTTCGAATAATAAAAAATGAAGTATTAATAATTATTTGAATTTTGAATTATATGTATATAATATTTGTGGATTTTGTAAATATTTAAGTTTGTATTTTGCATAATTTATTTGTTCGAGGCTTAATTTGTAAGTTTATATTTTTACACAGTTTTTTGCTTATTATGGTAACAGATTAATTACCTATTCAATCTTGTTTATTTATTAAAAGTTTAAAATATAATTAACTTTATGAAATATTTTCCGTTTAATGTAAAGTTATACATTTTATAATTAATTGAAAAGTAAATATTTTCTCTAGTGATTAGTTGAAGGTTTCATTTGGCCCTGTATAATATGTCAATTTTATTTCAATGTTTTGCCAGATTTGTTATAAAAACGTACATATACAATACATAAACTCCAAATATAAATGTTATAAGTAGGACACGGATTTAAATGGAAAATGCATTTTTTTTTCTAAATCCTTACATGCTCAGTTTAGCAAAAATATGTTTCAAGTGGTGGAGATTCATGTAATTCAAATTTTATTTAAAATTTTTTCGCATTTTTTTGTCGTATATACTTCTTTCTTATTATTTATTTATTATTATTATTTTCATATTTATTAAAAATTTAGGATTTTTGGAAAAAATTCAAACAATTTCAAGTATACAATATTTTTCTTTAATCAAATTATTGACAACTACACTTTATCGTCTTATGTTATCGTTATGTCATTAAATGATGGTACAATAGTCGATAACGATAACAATAGTACGGACTAAGTGTGTGGAAAGCATTGATCAAATAAAATAAAAAAAATTTAGTGCATTTTTGGTAGTAATTTTTTACATTTTTAATACATTTATTACATTTTTCACATTGTTAATACATATTTTTACGTAATTTATTAAATTTTTAGGTCATTAAAATCTATTAAAATATATAAGTTATAGAACTATTATAACTTATAAGCTTTGTAACATAATTGTGATTTGTTCCATGCCAAATAATTGTAAAAAATATTAAGTATTCAAATAGTAAAATGGACGGAACAAGTATCCTCAGTTTGTTAAAAAGTAATAAAAACAATCTATATTATGAAAGTATGGAGAGGTACTACTTAATAAATTTTGCTCTTGTTAAGTCTGTCATTGCATATGGAATCATAGAATGGGGTGTGAATACATCAATGTCTTGTCTTCAGATAAGCCAAAATAAACTAATTAAGTTTACTATTAAGAAAGGATTAAGATGTCTAACTATAAATTTGTACAATGATTTTAAAGTTCTAAATATAAAAAAAATATATCTAAAACCATTATCAATTATTTCGAAAAAAAAGAAATAACTTACTAGGATAGTTGTTTCGTGGGGTGAATACAAGTTATGCATTAAACAAGTAGAAAATTCGACGTCCAATGAAAACTTGTTTCCATATGCAATACGAGTTTTTATGAATATAAAATAGAAAAAATTAGATAATATATATTTATATATTTATTTTTGAATCTCATTTAAACGCTATCCGTAGTAAAATCGATTGTATTGAAAAAACATTACTGAACGGTTATTGGTGGTGGATGGACATTAGATTTTGCTATTCGGCCATTCGGCTTTTTAGCGCATCATATTTTACTATTACAATAATTATATAGTTCATTTTATATTTATTAATTTATAAAATTGATGAAAATAAAACTGCTTCGCGTGGATCATAGGATTTATTATCAAGGGTATTTAAATAGCTTTTACCAAGAAACAGTAGATAAAATGTCAGCTATAATTGTTAATTGTTTTCCAATACCGAAAAAATTATAATTGTCGATATTATTTGTTTATTAGTTAATTGTTAATTAGTTGAAGGCCTTTTAAGGTCAAAAACGTTTTGGATTCTGAGGTGGATGATTCTTCCAGAAATGATTTAGAAATATGTATTCTTTTTATTAATTTTT